ATACAAGAGCACACAATAGATACAAACTCAAGGTTAACCACACCAAACTTGATTGCAGGAAATACGATTTCAGCAACAGAGTGGTCAATGTCTGGAATACTCTACCTGACTCTGTGGTTTCTTCCCCAAACTCCAAAAACTTTAACCTTAGACTGTCTACTATTGACCTCACCCCTTTCCTAAGAGGTTTGTAGGGGGCGTGCATAAGTGTACCAATGTGCCTACCATCCCTGTCCTATTGTTTCTTTTTATTTTTCTTATATGTATCCATTTCATGTATTCATAACTATGTTTATACTTATACCTGTTATCTTATAATTGCTTGACAAATAAATAAATAAATAAATAAATAAATAAATAAATAAATCTCTGTCCCGCAGAGGCAGGATCTGTTTGCTGACCCCTCAGTCAAGCCAAGCCAGCTTCCTTGCATAACAGCCAGCTCTACTTTCTCTTTCCAGGATCTGCCGTGATTTCTCTGAAATGTTTCAGCTGAACCATGTATTTCTGTTTGTGTGTGTGTGTGTGTGTAGGGCTGGATGTTACGCAAGGAAGCTGACTTGGCTTGACCGAGGGGTCAGCATAGAGATCCTGCCTCTGCGGGACAGAGATGTCTCTCGGCCTCCCTGCTGTGGGGGAGCAGAGGAATGGGGTGGATCTTGAAGGGGACTCGGGGTTCCATCAAATGAGATATTGGCTCGTTTGGGGGGAAGGATCTTCTGAGCTTCTCTGAGAGCTTTGAGACAGAACATCCTCAGAGCTGACAAAGTTTTGAAGTAGCCTTCCTTTCTCTCTCTCTCTCTCTCTCTCTCTGTGTGTGTGTGTGTGTCTCACGCACACATGCATGCACACACACCTTGTGGGCCGTGTGATTTCAACCCCCCCACCCCTTGGACAATGTTCTGCTATTGACCCTCTCTCTCTCTCTCTCTTTCTCTCTCACACACACACACCTCTCTTGTGGACCATGTGATTTCACCCAGCCAAACCCCTTGGACAATGCTCTGCAATTGACCCTTCCGCGGGCATGGATGGATGGATGGACAATGGACGGATGGGTGAATGATGGATGGATGGATGGATGGAGAGAGGGAGAGAGAGGGCTGGATGGGTGGCCGGATGGATGCATGGAGGAGAGGGATGGATGGATTAATGGATGGATGGAGACTCTGCCCAGATACCGATGACGGTCACACAGGGAGAATTGCCATTGGTGCTTCTGCTCGTTCCTCGAGAGTGAGGGCGGGCTGCCGCCTGAGGGGATCTGCGCTCTGATTAGTTGCTGCAGGTGGAAAGGGGGCGTTTCCCTTTTCCCCCAGCTTTTTCTTCTCTGGGCTGTTTGAATTTACCTTAGGATGTTCCTGACACGTTTTTCAAGGAGGGGAATCAAGGAGGTCCTCGCCTCAGTTCAAAGCCCCGATTCCGCCTTTGGGGCTTGGACCCTCTGCCTCTTCCTCGCCTCTCTTTGGGGGCATGTGTGCGGCAGCATCCATGGGCTCTGCTGGGCTCCCCCTGATGAGGGCGCTGGGCCAGATCCCCGGAATCGAAGGGGAGAAGGAGACCCCCGGTAAGGAGGGGGCTGGGAGGGGGAAGGAAAGGGGATGGGAGGGGCCGTCAGGGCTCCTGGGGGGACATCTCCTCCTTCACCAAATGCTCCAACTGGCACAACTCATAACTGGACACCTACGTAACTGGATAGAGGCATTCCTGTCAAACAGGCAACAAATGGTGAAAATTGGGAGCATCCTATCAAATTCTGAACCTGTCAACAGTGGTGTCACCCAAGGCAGTGTTCCAGGACCAACTCTCTTCATACTCTACATAAATGACCTCTGTGATCATATTAAGAGCAACTGCGTTCTCTTTGCCGATGATGTAAAGCTATTCAACACCACCGACAATACAGCTACCCTTCAAAAAGACTGACTATGTATCAGAATGGTCAAACAAATGGCGACTTCAAATCTCAACCAATAAATGCTCTGTCTTACATATTGGCAAAAAAAATCAGAAACTAAAATACAAGCTGAATAGTCAAGACCATGTTGATGATCCAAACTCTGTCAAGGACCTTGGAGTACTCATCTCTAATGATCTAAGTGCTAGAGCCCACTGTAACTACATAGCCAAAAAGGCATTAAGAGTTGTTAACCTAATCTTGGTAGCTTTTTCTCTGGTAATATCACACTACTAACTACAGCATACAAAACATTTCCTAGACCAATACTTGAATACAGCTCATCAGTCTGGAACCCGCATTACGTATCTGATATTAATACAGTTAAGATAGTCCAGAAATATTTCACAAGAACAGTTCTCCACTCCTCTACTCATTGCAGAATACCTTATACCAGGGGTCCCCAACCGCCGGTCCGCGGACCGGTACCGGGCCGCGGAACAACCCTTACCGGGCCGCTGGTTGCTGGGCGCCGCCATCTTTTTTTTGGTAAAAAAGCGCTTCTGGTGAGCTTTTCCGGGTAGAAAGCTCACCGGAAGCGCTGTTTCGTCATAAAAAGATGGCGGCGCCAGCGCTTCCGGTGAGCTTTTCCGGGTAGAAAGCCATTTCTACCCGAAAAAGCTCACCAGAAGCGCTGGCGCCATCTTTTTATGACGAAACAGCGCTTCCGGTGACGTCACCGGAAGCGCCTTTTCGTCATAAAAAGATGGCGGCGCCCAGTTGACGCCGGTACCGGGCCGCGGCGCCCAGCTGATGTCGGAACCGGGCCGCGGCGTCGAAAAGGTTGGGGATCCCTGCCTTATACCACCTGACTTGAAATTCTAGACCTAGAAAACCTAGAACTACGCCGCCTTCGGTCCGATCTAAGTATAGTGTATAAAATCATACATTGCAATGTCCTACCTGTCAATGAATACTTGAGCTTCAATCATAACAATACAAGAGCACACAATAGATACAAACTCAAGGTTAACCACACCAAACTTGATTGCAGGAAATACAATTTCAGCAACAGGGTGGTCAATGTCTGGAATACTCTACCTGACTCTGTGGTTTCTTCCCCAAACCCCCAAAACTTTAACCTTAGACTGTCTACTATTGACCTCACCCCTTTCCTAAGAGGTCTGTAGGGGGCGTGCATAAGCGCACAAACGTGCGTACTGTTAGGGATATACACCCTAGCAGAATGTGCACGGCAGTCAGGCAGGCAGGCAAATATGTGAGATAAACGTTGTTGTAGTTTACACTCAGTAAAACAGATACAATGTGCTAGTTAAATAGTTTATTCCAGTAATAGTTATAGCATAGTCAAACAGTCCATATATCATACACTAGTTCAGTCCGTCCGGGGATTAATCAGTTGCAAAGTCCAGTGTCAAAAAAGAGGTCAGTAAACTTACAAATATCAGTCCAGTAATTTATCTCTTCGCAGTAGAGATATGAAGTCAAACCTCTTGTCTTCCTTCAGCAACAGCAGAGAACACGCAGTTAACACGCATCAATCCATCATAGTCAGCAAGCAATCCAGTAAGCCAGCAATCAATCAAGTTCTCTTGCTCCCTCTTATGGCGATTTTACAATCGCAACCCAAAATTACATGCTTTGCAGTTAAAGTGACACACACTTAAACTCACTATCATAGTTTATATATATTATTTTACCCAAACCACGTTAGGTAACCTATGTTATTCCTAACACGTACCGTCCCTGTCCTATTGTTTCTTTTTATTTCTCTTATATGTATCCATTTCATGTATTCATAACTATGTTTATACTTATACCTGTTATCTTATAATCGCTTGACAAATAAATAAAATTTTAAAAAGCCCCCCCCCCCGCCTACCGGGCCCCAATAGAGAGCAACCGGCGGGTCGAGGTTTCTTTGGGGGGGAAGGGCAGCCCCTCTCGCTCTTCTCCGGGGACCGTCCCGTCTGAGCGGCGGTGGCCGGAGTCCCCCTCTCAGGGAAAGGCCGGCCTCGGAGGCGCCGCGGCCGGAGAAGGAGCCTCGTCCGGGGGCTGCGGGGGGAGATGCCCTCTGCTGGCCCTGGCCGCCCCTTCCCCTCAGCCTCAGGAGGCGGGAAGGGCGCTGGCTGCTCCCTCAGCCCCTCAGGGTGGGGAGGGGGCCCCGCCCCCGCGCGCCTCTCCAGGGGTCTCTCAGTCTCCCCCCGCGGCCCCTCCCGCCAGCCCGGGCCTCCCTTGGACGGAACCCTCGCTCCCTTCGGCTCCCCCTCCGGGCCAGTCCCGGCCAGAGAGGCTCCCCCGCCCCCCGCCCCGCCCCCCCCCCCCCCCCCCCGGGGAGAAGCAGCAGCGCCCGTGGAAGCGGCCTTCCCCCACGTGGGGGTGGGGGCTCTCCTTTCCGGCGGGCTCCCGAGACCCCGCGGGAGGGACTAGAGCAGGAGGGGCGGGGCCTTCCATGGCGGGGCGGTGCAGGACCGGGAAGCGAAACCGAAAGCGCCGGCGGCCATTCGCCTCCACTGCGCAGGCGCCCAGGTCTCTCAGCTTCCCGGGCGGCGGCCCGTCTGCGGGCGGGGGGGGGGGGGGAGCTTTCCGGCTGCTCTTGGCTGCCCTCCCAGGCGCAGAAGCTGCTTTTCTCCCCCGCCCGTTGCCCGACCGACCGGAGGCCGCTCGGAGGGGTGGGGGCTGCGCTGGACGATGGAGCTTCGCAGGTGAACTTGCGAAGGCTGAGGGGGGGCTCCAAGCGGGAGGGGAGTTTCGGACCGGATGTGGCTTTTGCTCTTCCTGAAGGGTTTCGCGGGGGGGGGGCCGGGCGGGGAGGGGCGGGGCGGGGGAGCGCAAGGGGGGGAGTGGGGGGGGGTCTATGGGGCTCCAGGCTTCCTTCTGACCCAGGCGAACCAAGGAAGGCTGAGAGCCTCCGAGACCCCCGGGCTGAGCGGAGGGGGCTTCCCTTGCCCTCTTCTCCGGCCACTGGGCAGCCTCCACCGTTTGCAAGAAGCCCCCGTTCTGGCCGCTACTTTGCCCCACTTCCCCGGGGGGGGAGGGGGGGCTTGATGCCCCTGCACGTTAAGCAGAGGAGGGTTCAGAGCATGTTCCCTGCAGGAGGCGGAGGGGCTGAGAAATGAGCCCCCTCACAGAGAAGGAGCCAATGAGCAGCTTTCCCTTCCAGGCTCGGCAAAGGGGACTGAAGAGCCCCATGGCGGCCTCAGGGGAGGAGATGCTGGTGGGTCAGCTGGGCCAGGAGGCCACCTGCCCGCTCTGCCTGGACTTCTTGGAGCAGCCGATGATCCTGTCCTGCGGGCACAATTTCTGCCACCGCTGCCTGGCCCAGCTGGGCGCTGAGGCTTCCTGCCCGCAGTGCAGAGTCAGGGTGGAGCCCGTCAGCGCCTACCCCAACCAGCCCCTGGCCAACATTGTCTGCCATTTGAAGAGGCGTTGGCTGTCGGAGGGAGCCCAGGAGGAGAGTAACCCTTCCCCACCCCTGTCTTTGTGGGTCAGTTTGTGCTCAGAATTTCTGTTGCATCCTTTTGGATTTTGTGGCTGAGAGATACTGGTTGTGGGGCCTTTGGTGCTCTCGGAGCTTGACTGACTTCCTGCAAACGTTTCGTTACCCGATTGTTCTGTCCTAGGCCTCCCCAAAAAGCACTAAATTCTGGGTCCTGGCAAAACCGCTTTTATTACATTAATGTGAATTTATTTCATCCACAGCTAACGGCTTGGCAAACTGTCTTGCAAAAGTATGCTAATTAGCTCAGGCCTTATCAATCCTGGAACGCTGCCTTGTAAATAGTTCCACACTCAGTGCTGATAGGGAAGGGCTGGGTTCTACAGACAAATCTCCACGAGGCTCAAACAAACGAGTGAGTTGTTTCCTGCAAAAGCCCCCTCCCCTTTTGCTTCTCTTTTAATCCTGATGGGAGGGGGCATTCATAGTCTACCTATGCCCTTACTCCCACATTGACCCTGAGTTTGTAATTGTTCATTCCTTTTGGCAGCTCTGTGCATGCGCAGGCTGGGAACCAGTTCCAGAAGCTTCCTCACCTCAGTGCTGTCCAAGCCTGAAGGCAGCTAATGACTGCCTGCCTGCCCTGGCCCCATCTCTGCCTCTGACGCAGAGCCCTCATCCGAACCTTCCTCAGCCTCCAAGACTGTTCCGGGTTCCTCCCCAACCTCCTCACTACTGTCCGACTGTTGCCAGCTGCGGCAGCTTCCGGTGGGCCACAACACTGACTCCGTAACACCATCAGTGCTGGGAGGGAGTGGGGTTCGTTCCCCCTTGATATACAAGGAGGTTGCTCTCAGTTGGGGAGCCGTTTATGGCTCGGTGGTTGCTCAGGCGTTGTAAACAACACAGATGAGGCACCACCAACGCAGACCGACAGTCCAACAACAAACCGCAGCCTAACCAGGGAGCCCCCAAGAAGAGAACAACTGTGATGACCTGGGGCGTGGCACAAAGGCAACACAGTCAAATAAGAAGAGTCCCTTTATTATCTCCCAACTTTGCCCCCAATGTCCAGGTTGCCTTCAGCTGGAGAAAAAACTCTCCCAAGAACAGTCTTTAAGTGGAGGAAATTCAGTCTGAAAACAAAGTACATATAAACTGTAAATAAAAATCCACACAAACCACGCTGCAGCAATTAACTGTACAGGGCAGGAGAAGGAATTGCAGATTTCTGAGGCCAGCAAAACACACACGGGAAGACGCCAAGAACCCAGATAAGCCTCGACCATAAAAGATAACTCATAATTTGTTTCCAACAGTTGGCTGTGCGCAACTCCCCTTTTTAAACACTGTTTTCCCAGCTGCAGCTAATGAAGGGAATCAGGGCCCTTTCCTCCCCCGTAAGCCATGCAACCCACGTTGCTCCCTTCTCCGTTCCTCCCTGCGTGCCCTAGGATGAAGAGGGGGTGGGCCTGGGTCTTCCTCCGAACTCCCTCTCCCTTGCTCTACCTCTTCCCTGCTCTGCCCAGCCGGACTTTTCCCTTCCCCAGTTTTCTTCCACAGCCAACGGAGCCACACTCCCACTCCCTGCCAGCTGCTCGGCTTTTTCCTCCAAGTCAGATTCCGACGGGCATGACAGAATAACGGTCCCAGCAATACTGTCAGGGGAAGCCAGTACAGGCAGTCCTCAACCTCATGACCACAGCTGAAGCCAAGATTTCTGTTATTAAGTGAAACAGTCGTTAACTGAGTTTTTATGACCTTTTTTGCCACGCTTGTTAAGCGTATCGCTGCCGTTGATAGTCTAGTAACCTGGTTGTTAAGTGAAGCTCCCCCATGGGCTTTGGTCGTCTGACGGCCACATGGCCTTGGGATCCAGCAATGGTCATAAGTGTGAGCCCGTTGCCAAGCATCTGCATTTGGATCCCGTAGCCGTGGGGACAGTGCAAAGGTCGAAACTCTGCAAAATGACCGGAGGGCACTTTTTTCACTGCCCTAACTTTGAACGTTCACAAAACGAACAGTTGAGGGTTACCTCTGTAAGTGAAAGGAGAGCAAATTGCACTCCCCTGTAGCGCTGATGATGTTCCTCAGTTGGGTAATGAAAGGTCTGCAAGAAAACAGCCGAGCCCCAAGGACCTTCAGGGGCAACTCTTCTCTTCTGCTGGAGATTCACTTTCTCCGCAGCCATTCAGACGATCCCCCGGGCAGACTGTCCAGTTGAGGGGGAGGGAAGCGGTAGAAACTCAGTTGTTGCAGGAAACCTGGTTTCTTTGCTTAGGGCCCCTTAGTCCTTGGTACAGTAAGATCAGAATCACACTGAAGTTTGTGTTGTGCTGAGTTTGTGACTTTCCTCACTTCTCTACTGACTTCCACACTGGTTCAGTGTGCAATTAGTTGCGATCAAAGCAACAAACAATGTTTGCATAGCAAACAAACCAGGATTCACGCCACATGCTAAACTCAGGTTTGGAAAACCTGAGTCCTATACTCACCTGGCAAGATGCTGGAAAGGACCAGCTTGTTTCACACACCACACGGCCAACCCAGCCCCCCCATGTTTTGGGGAGACAGCCGGGTAGCTGTGTGAGGCCGTCCCCCTTGTGTCGCAGGTGCCGGAGTTATGTGGTGGGGTGCGTAGAGAGCGCCTCTCCCAGGCTGCAAGGCAGACTCCGGACCCTCATGGAGAAAAATGCTTCTGTAAGGCGGATTGTGGACAGTTCCAAAGGTGAGGGGCCCTTTCAGGAGGAGCTGGGGGTCTGGGGCCCTCAGGAGGAGCCCCAGGAGTTCGGGGGGTTCTGGGCCCTCCTGCCCCCCTTCCTACTGGGGGATCTTGGGGAAGCCAGGACTAATCCAGCTCCATCCAACCCCTGGCTGGGTGAAAGGGGGTGGTCTGCCTCTTCCACTGATCAGTCAACCCCCCAACCATGGTCCTTGGGGGCGGGGTCACTGGGCACCTGGCAGGGACCGAGATGCTGCTGCCAACAGGGTGGCTTCCGCTCACGGGCATCACCCATGGGCGGCTGTTTCTCATCCTGGTCCCGTTTTTTCCTTTTCTCCTCCGAATCTCAGCCTCTCTGCAGACAACTCTGACCAGGAAGAACCTGGAGCGACTTCTGACCACAGGTAAACTCCCTGGGGCTGGTGGGGGGAGGAGTCAGTGGGGGAAGGGCTTGCAAAGACCACCAGGCCTCACAGCAGCGGTTTCCCCACATCGCCAGGAGTGACGCCTGCCAGGAGTGGCTTCCTCCGTGGGGCGGAAGCCCCGAGTCCAGAGGGCCCCAAAGGCAGCCTGTGGGGGAGGAGGGGGTCCCTCACAGCCACACAGAGCCAGCCCTTCCCTGTCACCCCTGTCAATTGAACTAAACAGAGGGCCTAGTCTGGGTCAGACCCCCCAACTGCCCATGCCCCCCCCTTCAGAGGCAGCCCCACTGACCTCGAGCTGCAGAGACCTGCCGTATTTAGGAATTGGTCCCATTTCCGGGTGGGGGGCTTGCCAGGCACTTTGTCTCTGGGCTCCAGAGAGGACCAAACAGCCCAGTTTCCTCCCTTTGCCATCCTGCTGCCCTTTGCCGGCTTTAGAATAGAATAGAATAGAATAGAATAGAATCCAATCCTTTATTGGCCAAGTGTGATTGGACACACAAGGAATTTGTCTTGGTGTAAATACTCTCAGTATACATAAAAGGTACATTCATTAAGATTCAAGAATCATAACGTACAACACTTAATGATAGTCATAGGGTACAATCAACAATCAAATCATAATAGGAAACAGTCAATATAAATGGTAAGGATACAAGGGACAAAGTTACACTCCTACAATCACAAGTGGGAGGGGATGGGTGATAAGGAGTGATGAGAAGATTAGCAGTAATAGCAGTGCAGACTTTGTAATAGTTGAACAGTGTTGAGGGAATTATTTATTTATTTGTAAGCAGGTCCTTCCCTGAGCGGGTGAAGCACCCAGCCCTGCCCTGCTTTGCCCTCCGTAGCCTACAGTCATCAATCATGTTCTCCAGTAAGATATTTGCTCGGCAGAAACTTCAGTCACCTAGTTACTATCTCTGAAAAGCTATGTGTGGAATGCACTTTTGCTTTCCGAGCTGCCGCACTGCTCTTTCAAACCCCTTTGTTATGTACAGAATAACCCTTGAGTAACAAGGATATGCACATGGAAACGTTTATGAGAGTAGTTATGAATAATTATTCAGCCACACACAGATACACTAAATTGAGTTAAAGTTTACTTTAAGAAATAGCACAGTCCAATAAACGGTCCAGGTCATATACGTTTAACAGTCCAAAAATATCCAATCACGAAGTCGTCTTACCGGTTGCCTTTGTCATTTACAGTAAACAAAGATATCAAAGTATAAGCACAGCATAAATACAACAGAGAACCTTAGATAGCAACAGAATGTCAGAGAGAGCAAGCTATGATCTCTAGCTCCCTCTTATGGTAATTTGCAATATAATCAACCAATCAGAATATAGTATAAATCAATACAGTGATACATTACATCTTTAAACCATAATTCTCACAACACTCTATGTTTAATTGCACCTTGAGCTTTCGTGAAATGATCTGCAATATTATGTTCAGTCATGCAGTATTGTAACTGAATTAATTTATTTTGAACACACTAACATTCAAATATCTCAAATCAGTAGGTTTAGACCTTGTTTTAACAGCTAAATTAGTAGCCATGCTAATTGCAGATTGTCTTCATAAACAATAAACGGATCACATACAGTAATTCCAATATCCTTCAACAATTGTTTATAATATATCAATTCTGTACACATTAATCATAAACATGAAAATTCCGCTTCCATAGTGGATGGAATATGTTGTTGCCTAATAGACTTCCATCCTATTAAAGCATTACCCAACATTACCACTATACCTGATGTTGACTTATGAGTCATTATATCAGTAGCAAAACTTGCTTCAGCATATGCAGTTAACATTAATTCATCACTTGGTTCTAAATATAATGAAAATGGATTGTGTGTTTTAAAAACCTAATTATTCGCTTAGCTGCTTGCCAATGCCTTTCATTTGGTTCAGCGTCATACCTAGCCAATTGGTTTACACTGTAAGATATATCTGGTCTAGACCAATTACCCAGATATGATAGACTACCAATTAAGGATTGATATATTTCCTTATCAAACATAGGACTTTTAATATCACTATGTGTAAATTCCTTACTCATTGGTCTCTTAGCAGATTTACAATGTTCCATGTTATAGCTTTTTAATAATTGGCTAATCTTCTTGGCTTGCGAAATTTTAAAACCTTTATTCATTTTCACTATATCAGGACCCAAATAATGCTTAATTTCCCCTAAATTTCTAATCCTGAACTTTTTCTATAATCTATAAACAATATTATTTGCTTCTTGTTCAGTTTTAGTTATAATTGCTATGTCATCCGTAAATAACAGTAATAGAGAAATTAAACCATCTTTTTCTCTTCGGAACAAACAAGGATCAGCTATACCAGCTTCAAAACCTATTGAAACTAATTCCTTTACAATACATTTATTCCATTCATAACCAGATTGCTTTAGACCATAAAGACTTTTCTTTAATTTCCAATAATCAGTTTTTCCATCATCCTTTAAACCTAATGGCTTTTTCATATAGATGGTATGTTGTAAAGGTACATGTAGATATGCAGTTTCAACATCTACATGGTTTATTTTACATTTATTCTTAGCTGCCCAAACTAATGCTGCTCTCAATGTATTTGCTCTCAGACTAGGTGCAAACACTTCATCACAGTCCTTATCTGACTGAGCAAATCCTTGAGCAACTAATCTTGCTTTATGGGTAATAGTCCCATCCACACCAGTCTTTATCTTATACACCCATTTGCAACCTATTGCACGCTCACCTAGTGGTAACTTTACATCCTCATACACCTCTAAATCCTTTAATGATTTTAACTCCCTATTCATAACTTCCTGCCAAGCTACCTGATCCTTTGTAGGATACAGTTTTATTTCATTGAAGTTAGAAGGTTCTGTATTAACCTGACATACAATGCTTGCTTGAAATCTGTCAGGTGGACGTCTCTCCCTAGTTGACCTCCTAAGCAACTCAGTACATGTTGTTGGCATGTCCTCTTCCTTTACCTCCCCTATCAAATCCTCGTCTTCTACAGTCATAGAGGGTTCTTCTATTGATGATTTCTCCATTGAGGATTCCTCCACTATCTTATCATCAATATTATTATCATCAGGATTATCGGTAAACAATGGAGTCTCAACAACAACACTATCCTGTACCTTATTACAGTATATTCCTGTTCAAGCTTTCTCCAGCCAACATGTTCCAGAAATTTAGCACTTGCATTACAATATACATTAGTATTACCTGGCTCCCAAAATCTAAATGATCTTTGATTAGCTTCATAACCTACAAAATATAATTGTTTCACTCTATGTTGTCCCTTTCGCCTTACTTGCGTGGGAATATGAACCCATGCTGGTGTTCCAAATGTATGTAAATAACTGAGATCTGGCTTTTTCCATTCCAACGAGTAAACGGTAATTCACCAGTCGTTGAATTCACTACGTTATTCAAAACATGGTTAGAACACATTATTGATTCACCCCAAAGTTTCTCTGATAAACCAGAATCCGAAATCATAGTCCTAGCCATAGCCTGTAATGTTTGTCCTCTACGTTCAATATATGAGTTATGTTGTGGTCTATAAGGAGCAGAACGCTTATGTTCAATGCCAGCTTTCTGTAACACGGCTTCAAATTTTCTATTGGTAAATTCAGTACCATTATCTGTTACTAAGCTAATAACTTTGTTTCTTTTTCCTTTCAGCAAATTTTAGCCAGTTTACAAAATGCTGGTATGTTTCTATCTTTTGTTTTCATTAAGTAACAGAAACCATATCTGGAAAAATGATCAATTATACTTAATATGTAACAGGTTCCACCTAAACTAGGTTTCTTAGGTCCAATAACATCAGCAAAAACAACCTCTAATGGTTCACTGGTTTTGAATCCATTTACCCTATTTGCAGGAGTTACCTTGCTTTTTTCTTGATTGCAAGCATTGCAATTTAAATACTTTGTACAAGGTTTTAATTTTATACCATTAGATAACTCAACAGTTTTCTTTAGCATTTTGAAATTTATATGTCCCATACGTCTATGGAGCAGATGAATACATTCATCATGAGGCTTTTTATTCTCATAAACTGAGTTAGCATTAATTAATGGATTATCATGTATAATAAATCATTATCCAATCTTGCAGTAACGCTTTCACCCTGTTTTTCAATTAAACATTTATCTCCCTGAAAGGTTACAACAAATCCTGCTTTTACCATTGCTCTTACAGATAGCAAGTTAAATATCAGTCTAGGTATATATAACATCGGTAAACGTTCATTAATACATGAACAATATGCAGTACTTTTTTCCAGATGCTCTCAATTTCCATCCATTAGCTAATGATACATGCTGTTTACTCTTTGTCATGTTAACAAACCTCTCTTTACTTTTAGTTATACACTGCGATGTCAACTAGCCATATATCATGGTTTACAGTTGTAGTTGTACTTGATATGGCTAAACTAACATCTTTATAAGCTCTCTGTATATTAATAGCATTCTGTTTCTTACCCTTTTTACAGTATCTGGCTGTATGACCTTTAGCCCCACAAGAAAAACATTTCCTAACAATATAGGCAGTTGAAGACAGTTTTTCTTCCTGTGGTTGTCTTTCAGTTGATTTCTATCTTGCCTTCTTCTTGACTCTTCTAACAGTCTTCCAGTTACGCCAGTCAATGTAAGTGAAGACACATAATCATCATAAATTTCATCCAAAGAAGAAAGAATGATATAAACTTGATGCAACTCCGAGAAAATCAGCTCTTTTTCTTGTAGCTCTTGTAAAGTCCTTTTCATAAACTCCAAATGAGCTAACATATCGCCACCTTTTATAAGACAGGCTCTAAACAGTTTACGTGTAAGGTGTATGTGTGCTACACCTTACTCGAGACCCACACTATCTCGAACATAAATCCTCTTCAAAATGTCCCAACATCTAGCAGCAGATTCTTCACCACGAATATGGAGTAGCTGCTGATCACT